AAACAGGACAGATTAAATGAGATTTTGATAGGGAAATGTGCAAATGACAGCGCATCCACAGAAAGCACGGTTTCCTGCTTCCTGCATGCACGTGATATCAGATCAGGTGTCAGGTATCTGTCATGGCTCCAACATGTGGAGAGTGGATGTGACTCTGGCTTTGGGTGTAAAACTGCGATACGGTGTCTCTTTTTTCATGAATATCCTCAACATACAGTATTATTCATGGAACACTTCAGGATTCTGAGAAGCAGATCAAATCGATCAATAGTTAAGTCAGATCTGCGTTTGCAGTTTGTTGTTGTGGTTTTTAAGAAATTGGCATCATGGGGATTGAGCTAATTTGTCTCAGAATTGCAGACTGCCCTTGTAAAATTATTTCATTATTTTTTCCTAAGCAATTCTGTGGCTAATGAAAGCAAATAGGGAGACTTGCATGTGATTTCGAGAGGCTTTTACTAGTTTGTTGAAAACAGCATGGTGAATTTTGGATTGCACTAAGAAGAGCTTTTGTTGATAATCAATACTAAGTGAAGTAAATAAGTGTGTACATAAATATCATTTTAATCTCAACAACTGTTGGATGAATTGTCATGAAATTGGTTCATATGGTGCCAAAAGGATGAATCCTGATTACTCCGGTGATCGCACAGCCACCAGCCCGAGGTGGACATTTGTGGTTTTGAGTAAAATGTCCAATAACTACTGGATGGATTCCCATGAAAGTTGCTTCAGGCATTCATGGTCCCCTCAGGATGAAGTGTAATCACTTTGGTGCTCCCATAAAAGTGCACTCCACACATCTAGCATTGCACTTCTGTCACTCTGTCGAACTTGCAGTGCACAGTTTAAAGTTCCTCTCCAGACATGTTTTAAACTATGTAAAAATATTCTGCTATGATTAATATTTTGTGTAACATGGTTTTCCCACATAAAATGTGAGGAAGAATGGAAAACTGGGACTGGAAGCTCATCATATCAAGTTAGAGGAGGAACCATCAGAGAGACTCAACCACAAGTTTGTTGTGAACAAAATCCACAACGAGCAGACATATTAGAACGGTTAGCGCAGTTAGCATTTTTTATTTGTTTATGTTGTTTGTTAGCTTGTAACTGGCAGTGGCGGACACAGTGTTAGTGGTTGTGCTGATTCAAACTCTTGCTCTCTGCACTAACAATGATGTATGAATCCCTGGCTGTCTGAATCCGTTTTTATGAGACTGTCATTGGTTCACTGCAGTTCCAAGGTGGAAATACGCCATAATGGTGTTGAATGATTAAAATATTCCCTGTCAAAACCTAGTGCCTACATTACCCTGAATACAACTGGACTGCTGATGTTTTGGATGGCGATTTGGGTGTGTTATACTAGCAGCACCTAATAGGCTGTAAACATCATCATACGACATTACCTCCATGCCAACTGTCACCTATCTTTGGTTTGGTAGTGAGTGCAGTGAGTTGAACTGGGCTATAAAAATCAGGATATAACAGTCTCAGTCTCAAACATCCAACTCAACAACATCATTATTTTCATTTCATTTTCTTTTTCTTTTTTTTTTTTTTTTGAGGAATTAATCCATTACCTGCTCTAAAACTTGTGTGACTATGTCTGCCCTGTCACCTTTGTTCACTACTTTACTACTGTGATTTTGCAAGAAGTGAAGTGTTGATAAATCCACTTGAGAGAGGATCACATCTTTTATCTACCACGTCTGCTTTTAATGATCTGGTGCCAAACCCCTGCCAGGTCACGATCTAGATTGCAAGGCATGTGCTCCATGATGCTGCTCTCTGTGTTTAAATAAGGAGGGTCCGCTTTCCTTTTCTTTTTTTTTTTCTTTTTTTTTTTATCACCTTGGCTTACACCAGGAAGCATTCCCATTTCACATTTGATAAAAGTTCAACACTGTACAATGAATTCACCTTCAAACCAAAGGCAGACAAGGTTGAAGTGTGGTGGCCAGAGGCGGGCAGTGATCACATCATATGTAACCAGATATGGATTTTCATTTCAGTTGCTTGGTGGTACACGGAGTGAAACTGCAGCTACACTACTGACTAACCTTACATCAGTGCAGCAGAGGCCCATTCTGTGCCTGAGAATTGCTGGAAAATTGAATGCTGAATAGAAGCGTTTCTTACTGCACAGAATCCGATGAAAGAGCGCGAGTGCCTCCAATCCAAATTCATAAAACCCTTTGATGTTTGTTGGAATAATTTTATGCCTACTTCTCATTTTCCATTTTATGCTTGCTTTTGAATTTTGATTGCGACTACAGGCATTTTTCAATTGATATGCATTATGAACACTGTAATAATTCAAAGGCCTTTGTTGAGGAACAAACATGTCATTTGTCCTCAAAATGAATTTTACGACTTATTGTGTAACTGTACACCTTTGGTGAGTTCAGAGAGCGTGGTTGTGGAATGATTATTGTCTCCTTTTGCAAGACGTCTTTAAAAGAGAGATTTGTACTTTTAGTTTTCTGGGGTGCGTTTCATTTCACTGTTGAAATTAAATGTCTTGTTTGTTGGTGTTCTTGCAGAGTTCCTGTCTGTTGTTGTACGTACATTCACACTTCAGCAGCCGTGGTATGGCATGTGCTTGTGCATGTTACGTGTCCCCGTGTGTTTATTTATGGATGCACGATTGCCTCCTCAAATTTGGCGTTTGGTGGCTCATTCCTTCGAGGGACGGCGAAACTTGAGAGGCCGCCTAAAATACTGTGCAGTAATTGGAATTGCTTTATCTTCAGTCTCATCAATTAATGTGCAATTTTCCATTTAATCACTAACACGCTCGCTGCATTTGCAATTAAAATGAGGACTGATAACAGAGAAGATGCCTTTCAGCTGATACCAGTTGGAATGAGAAGAGAAACCAGGAGACGCAATCAGTACACAAAATGACTCGCAGAGACATGCACATGGCACACAAACAAATGTGAACACACACAGGGCAAACAGTCATGCTCGTATAATGCCGCGCTGAATACATACACGCGCAAGCATAGCCGGCACACACAGACACAGTATTACATGATAAAACATGCAGATTTGCAGCTAAAACCCCAAATTAGAACTCATCAATGAAACTAAACCGGCATTTAACATCAGAGCGTTGGCAGCAGCGGCGGGTTCAGATGCCACTCACTCTCAGTCGGGTCTCAGCCGGTTTGTCTTGTCTCTGACTTTTCCAGGCAGAGACATTGCCAGGTTTCTGGGTCTCAGTGAGGGATGAGCTCACTGTCTGCAAACGCATGTCATGCATTATCCTGATTCCGAAGAAGGGGATGAGATGTTTGCATCACTTCCTGTCTGGCAGCAGGAATCTGAAATTTACCTAAAGAGAGTCTCTTTATTCAAGGAGCATGGAGCTCAACACACACATATGAGGATATAGCAGGAGCATACAACAGGGGTTTTTAAAGCATTGAAAGCAGGAGGGCTGCGTAACACTGCTGTGGTGTTCATACTTAGCAGAATTAACCACACAATCACATTTATGTTCCTAATACTCCTTACATTTATTGTAAGCTCATTGTATGTTATGGTATATTTTCATTTTGTATGATTTCCCCTGTGATATTCAGGTAAATCTTTTTTTTAGATCCTTGCATGGTGTTCTTCTAAAACTTATTATATGATATTTATAGTTTCTTTTCATCAGACCAGAACCTCACAACTCAGAATCACATACTGCAAATCCTCGGCTTTAGTGGTCAGGCGGATTTACAGCACATTTTTTATATCCTGAGGCGGCAGCTCTGAACGGATGTTGCAACCAGCGCAGAGATTTTGCTCAGATGTTCCAGTTCCATTTCACTAGCTTATAATCAAGCGTTTTCCTCCAGGTCAATACTGTTCAGTCCATGTGCACCAGTCCATTGTAATTGCTGCCTGTCTTTCATGACCACACAAGGATTTATGTGGCATTATGAGGCGTTTTTCCAATAAGTGCAGTAGCTCAAGGTATCCGGTGAACTTTTGGAATTTGAAGAAATATTCATTTGACAATCCGCATCAGTGTTTAAAGCACCAAACTGAACTTTGTAGTGTCTGTATCAGTCAGTTTGTGAGATCAAGGATTAGATTTATTTTTCACTCAAGTAAAATTTGATAAATAAAAGGTTTAATAAAGTTTACCCTCACATTTATCAAAACATCCCTTCCCCCCCTCAGGTCAAATAAGTAATTTACAAGACATTTTCATGCAGCGTATACACGTAGGTTAGATGTAGCTTCAGGATGGAGCACCTGCTGTGCTTGCCTATAGTAAGTTGGGGCAATGGTAGGGGTCTGTGCGTGTGTGTGTGAGTTGGTGTGTGTAACACAATTAGCTCCTTCAGTGGGGGTGGGGGCGATGGTTACAGCGGCATTCCACAGGGTACGGTCCTCAGCCCTGTGGGGTTCCAGCCAATAGCAATTAGCCCACCAACAAGAGCCCTAATTAGCCCTCTTGATTGGCTTGGTAACGGCGGAAAACACAACAACACCAGCAGCCAGCACATCGAGACAACCAAGGTGACTCCGCCATGATGCGTTACTTTAAAAGCCAGCTGTAATTAGTAAACAAGCATAGCTGTCTGTAATTGGTAAACAAGTAGTCGGGTTTGTTTGTGGTGTCATTATGAACCTGCTGGTATGTAAAAAATGTCTGTAAAGGGCTCCATGATTGAGTTTGTGTTGCTTTGTTTTCTTTCGGTTCAGTAGCTGCTTGTAGATCACCCAGTATTAATACATCATCCCAGCTCTATGCAACACATGCAGAGGGAGACTGAGGGGAGACAGAGCAAAAGAAAATAAATTAGTAAACGGAGAAGAGGAAAAGAAGTGGGAGAGGGGAGAGTGAGTTAGATGCTGTGTGAGAATCCCATCTCCTATTATTTAATTATAGCAGCACCTGGTGGCTGCTGCTATAATAGAATTTACAATCACTGCTTGCACTGGATTCATGTTTTCTCTCTTCTTTTTTTCCCCCTGTATTTCTTTCCTAGTCTCAATGTGAAGCTATCCCATGATGCAACATGTGTCCCCAGCACCTGCAGTGACAATGATGGCCACCCAGAGTGTTCCTCCACCATCGTACCAGGAGAGCCAACAGGTCAGGGGTTTACCTCAGTGCTTGACATACCAACTCATCCTATAGCAGCACCACACGAATGAACCATATGGGTCTTCTAACACAGGCATACTATTTTCCTCCAAAGTTACTGTTTGGGTTATTTCAGTAGATTCTTCTTTGTTAGGCTCAATTGGACAAACGATGATGTCAATTCTGACTTAAGCGATCAAATAATAAGATCAGAATGTGGTGGTGGTGGTTAATTAGGTGAAGCAGATTAGCACTGAGTGGCAAAATCTTGATTATCGTCATGTCGTTATCTTCATTATTGTCATGATTATTGTGCTTAAAATCGGCAAGCAAGTTTTCAGGTGATTTCAATTACTCACTCAATCAATATTTTTTGTGCAAGAAAAACCACTGAATCAATAATTCCTGCTCTTTCCAACTAGTAATGTCATGATTAGTAGTTGGTTAAGAAGATACAAATATAATTGTTAAGTCTAAAAAAATTTTTTTTTTCTTTTTATGGGAGATAATAATGATGACATGGTAGCATTGAAGTAATATTACTTTATTACAGTGGATTCTTCAGTATAATAATAATTATAACAGTTTTCTCTTTTAAATAGGCTTATTAAAATATTTAGAAAAATGTTGAGGTAACTGAGTTTGTACATTTGATGAAGGTGACAAAATATAGAAATGACCATCAAGTGATATTATATTAGATTAAGAAGTAAGTCAATTTTATATGGTATATGGCCTACACATAAACAAATATATATTCTTCGCCAAAAAGACAAATGATACATCTGATGTGACTAATGTTTCGGGTCAACTAGACCCCAGACAGGTCCCAATCCCTTTTTGGTAACTGCTATAAACTCTTATTAGGCACTTGGGAGGGGTTGTGCTATGTAAAAGGTTGTGTCAACACCAATCACAGATACAGAGTACATGAACATCCATTGTATTTAACCAGGTTTTGTAGCTGAGGTCCCTGTATGATGCTGTAATGGACAAATGTCATCAGTTCAAAATCATGTTTATAAGTATTTTCAAAAAATTTGAGAAAAGTCACAAAGCGTCAAGGTGATAAAATTATGTTTTTAGAGCAAACAACACATCAGGGTTAAATACAGTAAAGCTACAATAATGTCACAATGGATAAGTAAAATTTTCTACAGGAATATTAAAGGAATATTATTGTAATAAAACATTACAGCTGTATTAATCTAGTATCATAGTAATGCCTTTTATAATTGTTATGTTATAATGAAGACATGAGTGCGAGAGTGAAACATACTGATGTCAAAGTGTAAGAATAAAAGGACAATTCTGAAGCCTGCAGTGTTCAGCACAGCACGTGATGCCACCAACAGGTCAGTGTAATTAACTGTGGCTGGACACAGGCTTTGTCTCACACCACAGACCATCCCGTGGAGGTGAAGCAGAGCAGGTTCATCTGACCGTCTAACCCTCCTCCTTGTCCACACCACCTCTGTCTGCTTTCGCCCAGAGGATTAGTGCCAGGGGAGAGCTCCCGAGCTGCAAGTGTGCGCGCTTGGCAAATGCAAATGAGAGCTAGTTAAGTGTGAAGAAGCTAATTTATTTTCCATTTGGTGCTTGGATTAAGACTTGAAGCTTCCTCCCACCCCACCCTGACTCAAAAAAAAAAAGGCAGGGGGAAATGGGGGTTGTTAGACTCATTTCCTCAGAGAGAAGGAATGAGAGAGAGAGGAAAGTGGGGTAAAGGATAAGGACGACAATGGGTAGTGTTTGTAAAGCATGTCACTCCTCTGCCCACCCCAAAGCACAAATTACACCAGAGGAAGTTAACAGATTCTCTAATGAGTCCAAGTTGAACCCCACCACCACCACCACCACCACCGACACCAGTGGTCTTTTGGTTTTCATATTATCACTTACTGTTCTGTTGTTATAAAATGAATATTTACGCTATCATTTAACTGGAATCTATCTATGACCTGAGCGTGCCTTGTTCAGTGACTTAATCCGTCCTGTGTGATTCATTTTGCGTAACAGCTTCATTACAAGGCTACTGACCTGTTTGGCAATATTTATTCATTCCAGCTTCAGCCTCATTTGCAGTCTGTGTTGCACCGTAATGCTTTTGAAAAGTGATTAAAAAATTACCTGACAAGCAGCTGCATGCTCAGGAGATAACCCTGTGATCATGTGACACTCACGCTTAAGCTAATTAAAAGCAAATCTTTTGCGATTCTGGTCCAGTCAGTTTAGACCATTATAGGTGAGATGAAAACACTGAAACACATTAATTTCTTGAATTTATGTTTAATTTTGATTTGCACCAACATTTGATTTGTTCAAATGTAATATGATTTTTTGTTTTGTTTTAAGCCATGTAGTAACTTGGTTTTAGGGATAATAATGTGGGTCCAGATTGAAATGTCTCAACAACTACTCAGATCGTTCACTATGAAATTTGGTGCAGATACTCATAGTGTCTAAGTGCCTATGCACAAGTGCTGTCTCAAAGATATCAAAGCTCTGCACTCCCACCTGCTTCAACTGAAAACCACTATACTATAATAAACTAATAACTAATAAAACTATAATAATGATGTTATATTTAAAAAGCTTTTTGAATGTAATTTTGTGATTTTTTTTTATTTTTATTTCTTTTATCCCCAGATGACGGGTACCACTCAGCAGAACACTAAGACCCCACAGGTCCATATCCCAGCAGCCACCGCAACAGGAAATACCTCTGTCAGTGTGACCCTTGACCCTCAGGCCCAGCTTGAGTCTGACAAAAGAGCCGTTTACAGGTTGGTTCAATCTCCCATGAGACGTTTATGTGTTATTGTAGGGTCTGTCCGCCTGTCTTGAACAATGCACGTCCCAGTTAACATAGAGCACTTGTTTAACTGCTGGACACAGCAGTTAAACACCATTTTCTTTATGCTGCTGTTAATCACTTTGCCTCTTGGTAAACAAATGTCACTATTTGGCCCAATATTTGTCAGTCTAACTTCAGTAATAGGCACTATACCGCCCCTGAGTTTCCCTTCACTCGTTCCTCCTTTGAAATAATTATTGCATTTTCTCTCTAGCCTCATGCTGTGCTTTAAGAAATTGTAGCAAATTGACTTGATGTGCTGCTCGCCAGTGAAGGCCACAAGCAGTAGTGTTGTTTTTAATGTGTTCTCTTAAACTGGCCATGACATAAAGCTTTTGAAAATTGTACTTTGAAGGGTGCATCCTTCAATTTTCACTTAGTATCGTTCTTAAACCAAAGAGCACCTTCAGTAAATGCGTTCACTCATCAAAGGCGAGCAGAAGCACCCTCGATTTCCTCTTTGAATTTAATAAATTGACTTTAAAATAAATGTATGATACAGCAGCAGCAGTCTGGCTGTTTCTCTGACTTCTGCACAGTGTGTACTCACTCTAGGCTCTTGACTCCGTCATTATTAGGCTGAGACAATGAACGAATGAATGACTTTTCAAGTGCTTTCCAGTATTGTAGTGGATTACATCCAACCATGTAGGCTAAAAAAACAAACAAAAAAATGAAAAATACCTAAATACCACAAAATACTGCCATTGAGATTTTACTGGGCGAACAGAGTTGTTTTTTGTAAGGTTTCCGCATGACTCCAGACTTTAATTGTAAAACATAATTTATTTCTCTTTCACGCCAACAGTCATTTTCAAAGGTAAGCATCACTCTTCAAGTCATAGAGACTTCATCAACTGGTTTCGGTCACTTAATATAAAAATGAACCATACTGAGAGAGACACCACATTTTGTGAAAACAGCCTCGTTCCAGGCCATCTATCAAAAGCACTGTGTAAATTTTGAAATAACTTTTTGTCATTACTAAAAATATGATTGTATATTAGTGCACTTTCTTTACTTTAAAATCAATTAGCACTAAGCTCTGAGTAAAAGTATTGTGAAATGTTGTCTGTTAATCTCCACTCTGAACTGTAAAGAAGATTTTTTTCACCACTTTTTTTTTTCTTTATTATGTTTTCTTTATTTTAAGATGTTTACAGATCACGCGGCTGGTATTTGTTCCAAATTTTGTTCCTTTATTTAACATGTAGAAGCCCTTGAAGGCACCACCGTGTTAGGTGTAGAAAATCACTGCTGGGTGAAACGCAAAACACCAGTAAAATTCTTTTTTTTAAAAACACCTCACTCCTCTCTCAGCTTATCACTAGAATATTGATGCACTCTTATAATGAGCTTGTATTATCTATTTATGAAGTAAATTATTCAAAATACAGACATTTTTAATGTTACTGGGTGATCTCCTGGTGTAGGCAGCACACCAACAACTAACTAGGTTTGTTGAGCCAAGGTGCCATGCGCTGCCTGGTGCCGCCTGTAAAGTAACGATGACACTGCAGACTGTGCTGGGCCGCCTGTCCCGGCTCCTCGGGTCCCACCCGCGGGTATCCGCCACTGCTGTCTGAGGTAGCGCGAGCCCCCATGCTCAGGCCTGAGGCGAGCTCCTGTAAAGTCCTTAGCAGCTCCTCTGAGATACAAGGCTGCCTTTGATGTGAGCAGCCATGTTTGAAACAGCTTGGTGTGGTGGTTGGGGGTGGGGTGGAGGAGCGGTCCAAATCAGTAAATCAGCCCCTCTTCCACTTGCACATGGGGTTTTTTCAACCTCCACTTTTCTCCTCTTCCCCCCACTAAACCGCATATGGAGGAGAGTAAAGAAGAAGCTCTCAGCAGCAACAAAACACAACAAGAATGACTGCAGCAAAGACATACAGACCTCATTATTTAGAAGTGTATTTAAATGTGCTCTCAGCTCTGTAGTTCTCTTGTTGTTTTCTATAGAGAATACATTAATGTTAATAATGCTAATGTACTTTATTAGTTGCTTTTTTGGAGTGCCTCTATAAGAGCCGAGATCTGTCTTTCCATTCTTCAGTGTGTTAATTAATGTAGAACAGTTTTTAACATGCACAGTAGAAGATGAGAAACAGCTCTGTCCAAAGTGGGAAAGACAATGCCGTCCAGCACCTCTAAAGCTGAGCAATGAACACATGTCTCATTTGTCTACAAATAGAAATGTAAAGATTAAAAATTTATGGCAGTGGTAGACAATATATGATATATATTGCCTATAATATATATACAATATAATGGATGTGTTGACAAAACATAGGACTTTTACACAGGAGACTGCTGTTCTTTTCCAAATGTGAAATGTGAAATGTTGTTTATCCATCACCATTGCACTACCTTAACTGCTTACGTATGTAATTGTAACCATGACAACAAAGGTCTACTACCCTTACTTATTTCAACCCCAACGGCAATCTTTTCCTCGACCTGACCAAGTAGGTTTTGTGCGTAAACCATTCTGTGACTATTTATTATTGTTACCATGACGACTAAGGTCCGGTATACTTGCTGCACAACAGCAGGAGCACTTTAATTCAACCATTAACAAAGCAAGCTGCTGTTAATTGTGTGTGTAGATGATCTCTCATTTAAATGAGTCTTTTTTACCTTTTTAAAGCACCATAGATTGCTGTAACTCTGTTAGCACATACATGTTGATGGTAAAACTGAAATCGTGTAGGCTACCTTCAGGTTTCCACACGCGCACATATATGATGTCTACTCATCGAATGAGTGAGCGAGCAAGAGAGAGAGAGATTGATTGGTGTTTTTTAGCCTTAAAGTTACGACACAACACGTCCATAAAACTCTATTAGTTTACCACATAAAAAAAAAAAACAAAACAGCCAGCTAAATAATAGGCTATAATATGCTATTAATGTATATGCTAGGGCTATATTGAATATCCCTGATGAATATAAAGTAAAAGTCGGCATTAAGCAATGCATTCCCTCATTTAGCATCATCATTTTAAGAACAGTTGCTTAACTAACCACTAACAATAGTAATAACAATACACAACAGCACAACCAAACCAAGCTACAGTAAACAAGTAGAAAACCACACAAGACAAAGAAAATAAAATGAAATCGTATTCCTGCCTATTCTCAGTTCATTCTCAGTTCCATCAAACTCTGCATCAATTCCAATATCATGATGGATGTTCATCAGTGCTCCACATCTGCAGTGTCATCATTCGGCATCAACGCACCGAACTCCTCCTTACCGCCCGCTCTCTTCTTGAATATAGTCTCCTAACAGGTTCTCCTGTTGTCACAATTTTATTTTCAAGATAGGTTATTAAAAAAAAAACAAACAAAATCATTGAAAAAAATGTAGGCACAGTGTGTACAAGATTACGGCTGCTGACGCCACTGCATGGTTCAACTAACCCTTGATTCATGGTGACATACATGGCTCCTGTGTCCAAGTATTTGAGCAAGACACCGGACACCCAATTCCTCCTCAGGGCCACCACCTTGCATGTTAGCTTCCACCTGTTCTGTGTTGTTTTCCTCCAGACCCACCCAAGATATTATACTGCTGTTTTCACATGCTGAGTAGTACCAGAGGAAGTTGAGAAAAGAGATGGCGCACAGGATCATTTCCTGTCACTGTGTCACATGGTTTTGCCACCAACCCGCCCCTTTAGGAGACTAGTGGGAGGTCTGAGTGTATTCACTCCAATGGGAGACGTGAACGGGATCACAGTTTATGATAAATATTGGATCACAAGCCACAGATCTTCTGCGCATTCTGACACTAAAATGGCATTTTTAAGACAGACAGATCAGGAGAAAATTAACTTATTTAACTATACAAGACCCATCTCTGTCTTAGCAACACACTCTTGCAAGATCTGGCAACACAGATCTCTCTTCTCTCTGTTGGTTCTGGTCTGGTTTCACTGCTGCAGTGCTGCCAGTGTTGTTGCTTTCCAACCGGATAAACTTATACATGAAACATCAATTAAAAGGTAAAACTGAAATTTTGGCTAAATAATACTATTAATGTCATTATTATTTAACTTTTTTTGGACGGAAAACAGAGAGTATTATTAGACTGATATGAACTTGTACTAGGCCGATCAGATATTAAGCTAGCAGTTGTATTGTAATGCCCAAGCTTTGTGCACCAATAGGCCGTAATAACAGAAAAAAAATATCTGTCTTTTCTTTCCCATCTAATGCAGTCTGGATAAGGTTTGATATTGATATTAGCTACTGTCACATTTCATACCAGTTGCATAATCCTGAATGAGCTAGCTAGTGTCATTTGGCAATTTAGGAAACAGGAAGTGTTATACTATTTCATACCATTGGCACTGCTTGTAATGTATCGTCTTTGTCATAGAGTATCTTTCGTGGTACTAACCATAACAAGTCAACTTCATTTCATATGTCAAATTGGTGGAATGGCCCTTTAACTACAGAATTTGTAACATGAAGTGGCATAAAGTGGCAAATATCTGTCTACTAAGCAGCCGTTTAAAGAGTATCATTTAGTTTTAAGGCAAAAACAGCTGTATATTATCAGTGTCTTTATGTGACACAACAGGGGCATCAGGGTAGAGAAATAAGATGGGAAGTTGAGTTACTTCCCAGTTAAATTGCGCTATGGAGAATATAGAGCCAGCTGAGTCTGTAAATGTGTGTGATGGCCAATTAAAATGTTGTGATCAACAGTGTCAGAGGCAGCGCTGAGCTCAGGGAGCAACAGGAGCTGAGGGTTCACCAGTGTGTGCTGTTAAATGTGATTATTTGTAGCTCTTAAGTAAAATCCGTGCTGCTCTGTATTCAGAGGAGGAAGAGCGGGGTAGAATTTGGGAATTATTTTTGTCCGTGCAAGGAGCTAATGCCTAAACACACCTTGTTACCTTGTTATAAACGCAATTAAATT